TTGTGATGTCACACAGACAGGCATCTGAGATCGGCTCGATTTGAGAAAGGGGAAAACATTTAACCAGATTAAAAAAAAAACACTGGGTGGATTTTTATCATTATAGGGTGGTTGTGTACATACACTGCCAACACACATTTCAGTTCAAACAACTTGTAAAAGTGCATGTAGCATCCTATGACCCATTTAAGACATGTCACATGGGCATACCTGACTAAAAACAGCAATAGACTTACTGACTACAAATAAGACTTAAGTCAAATCTTTCATAACTCTTCGCTACCTATAATTAGAGGAGAGATAGATAGATGGTACACAAACACAGCCAAATGTACAGATACTCTTCAAAAACAAGGATTTATCCAAGTGAACTGCCAGGCCACATGTTGAAAACATACACACATGGTGACAGACTGATCTCAGCAAGGAACTGGGGATGGAAGAGAATCAGAGCCAGAAATGGAGCTCAGTGAATGGGTAGAGGGCAAAAGAGAGAGAAGAGAGGAAGAACTGAGATTGAAAAAGAGGAAGTGATAAGTTTGAATAAAATCAACACAGACAGATACAGACTAGGATGGCCAAATAGCCCAGACTCAGATTGACATTTTTCAGCCAGAAATAAAATAACAAGCTGTATCAATTCAAGATATTAAAAATTTTAAACCAACTTAATGCAAAAGCATTTAATGAAAAATCTAAACATATAATCAGAAGTTCTAGGTCAGAATAAAGACTCATAATACAACAGTGGAAGATATTAAATGAAATGAAAATGAAGTGTGTGTGGTACCTGACATGGTAAGGTCGAGTCTGTGTAAGAGAGAGCGTTTGGCAGACTCCATATCAGGACTGGGGTTATCCAGAGCCTGTCTGCACCACACAATCGGACTCAAGGCTTTCTGCAGAGGACTGTTCAATTTTGCCTCGTACAACCTGCAGAAACACAAGCCAGAGGTCAGTCACAAGAAATAAACATGCTCTCATCATATATCTGCCACACAAGCATTTAATCAAGAAACATGCTGAGTGAAGTTTTGAAATGCCTTGATTAACAGAGGTTTTTTCAGCAAAAGCATGCTTTCCCTTTAAATAAAAACTGGCTTACAGGCAAATGAAACGACCCATGAAAAGTTTCTGTAATCCTTAAGGTAAGGTATAAACTGTACTCTGTAATATTGTGCAGGCAGCTTTGCTTAGTCACTGAGACCCGAATTAATAGGACCACATGAAAGCTTGGTGCAGAACTGTTCAGGTCAGCTGATCAGAAGCTTATTTACTACAGGCTAAATACGGGCCATTTGAGAACAGATCATCTCATAGTATGACAGCTGTAGTGGAGAACATTTATTAATATAGAGGGTGATATTGTCAGTTAGCTTTAATAAATTAAATCAATTTCGGTTTATTTTTATAATTTTTTAGTTTGTTTTAGTATCAATATCTGGCAAAATTGCATTGCCGGCACTTAAACTGAAAGCAATCAAAAAAGCAAAAAGCCCATGGACAGGTTTTTGCTGACAGGATACGACATTTGCTAAGCGAAACGCAAAAATTATCATGATATTATCTGTCATAAACGTTATCAACGCTATGTCAAAAAACCGTAGCATTTACCACTAGTACACACAGATCTGTAGAACAAGTAGGTTACAGAATGAAATGAAATACGCAAAAACTAGCCATGAAGAAGTCTATGCCATGCCATGTCATTCAGTATAGTTAAATTTTCACAAATCATGCTATAAACTTGCATAAGAGCACTAGATAAAGTTATAGTTGTTATGTATTGTTGCAATAAACAACTGATAAAATTATCCACCCTTAAATATAGTAGTATTAACAAATTTTGATGCAATAAATAGGGTATGATATAAAAATAATCATCCCTCCAAAACAGAGAAAACATCTTTCACAAACATCTACATGTCTGTCTCCTTTAAAGTGTTTAGTGTATATGAGTTGTATTTGTAGGGGTTATTATAACAAAATTCTTTAACACCAACCCCCATCATCCACCCCCCCACCACTAATTTTCAAAGCCTGGGTACGGCCATGCACCTGACAGTAACATGTGGAACAAAACGTTTTTTACAGACACAATAAAGAATGTATTAGAATGCCCTTCAAGTGTTAGGCCCATTCACATTGACAGCAGTTAAATTACTGCAAGTCATCATGTTGCTGTATTGTTGGTTTATAGTAGTCCTACTTGACTGCAATATCCAACTGCATCAGGCGATTAATTAAAGTAGACAAAAATAGTAGTGTAACATGCATGCTATAAATATCATAATTTAATGCTAACATATACTACAGTTCAAAATTTTTTAGTTGGGAAGTTTTTGAATGCTTCTTATGCTCACCAAGGCTGCATTTATTTGGAAAAAATACAGTGATGCTGCACACTGGTGGTGGATGAGGAGATACCCCCTGACAATGTAAAGCGCTTTGAGTGCCTAGAAAAGCGCTATATAAATGTAATGAATTATTATTATTATTATAAAAATAGTAATATTATGAAATATTATTGCAATGTAAAATAACTGTTTTCCAATTTAAAATATTTTAAAAATGTAAGTTATTCCTGTGATGACAAAGCTGAATTTTCAGCAGTCATTACTCCAGTCTTACGTGTCACATGGTCCTTTAGAAATCATTCTAATATGCTGATCTGGAGCTTGAGACACATTTCTTATTATCATAATATTATAATTATGCATAATTACATTTAAAGGGGTCAAATGATGCGATTTCAATTTTTCCTTTCTCTTTGAAGTGTTACAAGCTCTTGGTGCATATTCCGTCACACGCTTGAGGTATTCGGCCAATCACAACGCACTGGATAGCTGGCCAATCAGAGCACACCTTGCTTTTCAGACCGATGAGCTTTGTAAAAATCGACGCGTTTCAGAAAGGCGGGGCATAGAGAAGAAACAATAATGTACAGTATGTGGAAAATAATGTGTTTTTTTAACCTTAAACCGCATAAACACATTTCATTACACCAAATACACCAAATAATGTTCTTTTTAGCAACATCATATGACCCCTTTAATATTTAATATTTTTCCATTATACATTTTAAGGATGCTTTGATGAATCTAAAATTCAAAAGAACAGCATTTATTTTTTATTTTTTTTGTAAAAATGTAAGTCTTTTACTTTGATCAATATAATGTATCCTTGCTGAATAAAAGTATTAATTTCTTGTTTTTTTTAATGCTTAACATTTTAAAAAAGACCCCAAACGTTTGAATGGTAGTATAAGAATATTGCATAGAGTCAAACTTTGGCACTACACATCCTGGACCACATCACTCAAGTCAATGACTGATTTAATGCTGACACAAACCATTTAGATCAGTCAGACTGGAGTTTAGTTATGACACAGAACCAGACGGATTTATTTATCAGGACTGATGGCAATGTAGGATTGCAGTGATGGTGGCAGAAACTGGCACTTTGGCATTTCTCCTAGTAAGCCGTTCTCCTGCAATATGACAGAAACTGAGATGATCTCCTGGTATAAATGCATTATTCACATCACAAAAAGCACAGATCTGACTTTGAGAGCTGTGCTCTGGCAGCTGCTACATTGATTCAATACAATTATAAACTCATTCTTTTATCTTGTCAACAGATTTGCTAACAGCATGGCTTGAACTCATTTGTGACCTTAAACACCATTAAATCTACAATAAAACAAGCAAACCAAAAACGATCTTATCCTTAAATCATCATGACTACGAATATTAAATCATGTACGTATCCTTGCTGTAATCATTTCTGACATGTTTGGTTTGACAAGTACACTTTCTGTCCTACCAACTATTTGTAGTGGTAAACAGGTGTTAAAGGGGTCATATGATGCTTTTTTAAAGATCATTATTTGGTGTATTTGGTGTAACAGAATATGTTGACATGCTTTAATGTTCAAAAAAAGAGAAAGGAAAACTTGAAATCGCATCATATGACCCCTTTAAGCTCACTGATCTGCTGGACTCCAGCTGTTGCAGGGATTTCCCAGCATTTTGCTGCCACTGAAAGATAGTCAGCCAAACAAGATCGAGGGTTCAGATTACAGCATTCTGAGTCTGTGTAAATTGACCTAAACCACAGAATCTCACAGACACTGATTAAAGCAAACACAAATAATGGATTACACAGACATTAATCCACACAAGATCAAAAACTGTTGAGATGAAGCTGTCTGTGACTTGAGGCAACCAGAAGGCAACAGGATAACATTCATCTACACAAGCACTTTTTTGAAAGAGAAATACTTTAAGGATGCATTAAATTGATCAAAAGTGAGAGTAAAACCTTTAATGTTACAAAAGATTTCAAATAAGTGCTCATTATTTTTACACTCCAGTCGTACATATCAGAACTGAGGCACACCAACAGGTGACAACATGCTCATTCTGCCAATAGTGTACATTTAGCTGGCACTTATTCTTCCCAACAGTGGTTTTGGACTTTAAACAGACACCCATCAGCCTGACTGGACTGTTTGTCATTGCAGGTTGTTTCATCACTCCAGGAGGAACTGCTTGTTTGAACATTTTATTCTTCCACTGTTACCCACTCTGTTTGGACCAGCAGACCGCACACATGCTGATCCACACCATCACTCTGGACTGCTGTTTTCAAAATGTTTGGTTTCTTGAGCTTGCTTGAGCAAAGTCCAATATAATTTCATCACATTTTTATTGTCATTATTAGTAGCAGTAACTTCAGATTATTGCTTCTCATATGACTGCACATCTTTGCAATGATACTTCTCAGTATTCTATTCATCTCGTTTATTTCCTAAAAAACCTGACTGCACTATTAAAGTTCACGTTATTTGAAACAAATGAGCTAGATACAATGCAGATCATGCAGAAAAGTATGTACATCTGTTGTAACTAATCTGCTCGATCATATCTGAGGCCTTATCTAAAGGACATTCGTATGCAAATACATAATTTGTGTGTGATTCTAATGACATCACTGAAGCATGACACCATGGCTGTCATTCAGCAGATTAATAAAGGTACTGAAATAATATGAAGGGCAGATGAGAAGGACCCACATATCAGAAGCAAAGTTCTGTAAGACAGGCCGTAGTGCGAACTGAATACATGCAGTCAGCAAATTGTTGCTCCTAAATGCTCACACGTAAGACACTAATAATCTTAAACAGATGACAGCCGTGTTGCTATCAATGCATTGAATAAACTAACCCCAGCCCTTGCTTAGCTAAAGAGACTTGTGTGCATCAACAATGCATCAAGCGCATTCCTCCAAATACGCGTCATTCTCTGTGGCGTCTGCACGCACCTGTCAAACACATGAAGGGTGTGTGTGTGTGTGTGTGTGTGTGTGTGTATGAGAGAGAGAGAGAGAGAGAGAGGTTACTCCTCTGATCGGGGTTAACACCTTCGCCTCCTGGCAGGTTACTCACCAGCTGTCTTCCTCTTCGTTCAGGCAATCCATGTCCTCCAAATCGAGAATCTCCACCTCGTCCAGCACCGAAGTGTCTCCGTCTTCGATAAAATCCAGCGAATCGTAATAAGACGCGAGACTCGTGTTCGAGGCGACACAAGAAGCGCTGTCACTGTCATAACCCCCTCCGTAACTGCTGCCGTGATATGACCGTCTGGGGCTCAGCCGAGAGATTTCCAAAACCCCTCCGAAACCCCTCGATCCGCCGAACCCCACCCCAGTGAACCCGGCGAGCCCCGCCGCGGCTCCCGGAGAATCATAACCGGCGCTCACGGGTCTGGTGTTCCCCGACAGTCCACCGGAAGAGGAGGAAGAGAGCAGACTGGAACGGCTCCGGAGCTGCTCGTTCTGCTGCTCGAGTTTCTTCACTAAGTCTTGAAGCTTCCGCACCTCCAAGTCCGCGTTGATGTTTGAGTTGATATCCTCCATGGCAAAAGCAACGATATGTCCGCGCGCCTGTTGTATCCGTTAGGTTTGTTTAACTACCGTCAAAGTCAGCAAGTTCGCGAGCCTCTGTCGCAAGGTCTTTAAAGCGAGCACTGTCAACGCCGCGGCTCGAAAGTTACTAATCTTGTCGTCGTCGTCATCTTCTCCGGGAACTCGCGCACACCGTAAGCTCCGTCGCCATCTTTACTGCCCGCCGCCAGTCAGTCGCTCACTGGGAGATCTTGAAGCTCGAAGTGAGACGTCATCGCGTGACTCAGCGGGAACGAGCACGTTTTGGGAGCGACCCTTCCCTGGAACCAGGAACGCGCACTTTAACCCTCTCGACACACACTAAAGCAGGCTACTTGTACTTTATTAATGTACTTACGTATTATTGTGGGGATTTTGCACTTTTCCTGGATACTATTGTAACCAACTATTTGTACTAACTTACTAAATTACATTTCTAAGGCAAACGAATTATTTTACTCTTTACAATTTATTTTGGACATTTACAAAGTATTTTTTGCAGGTTACTATCGATTAAAACATTCCCCATTTAATACATCTTGCGGAGCAAACAAACCAGTCCTCAATTATGCTTCAGGCTAAATTTTAATAGCACTGATACCAATTTCAGTGTAAACTGTATTTGCACAACAAATATTCATTTGACCTTGTGAAGAGATGCCTCATCAATCACCACAACAGAATATATGACCCAAAGCTATATTTTGTCGTTGTAACTATATTTAAATGTCAAAAAAGTGTACAGTTAGCTGCTGGTGAATTCAATTATATAAGTATATTTTAGTATATTTCTTATTTTAATTCACCCCTCAACACCTGTTTGTTTCCTTTGAGGAACCAGGATTCACACAGTCTTGGAAAACCTTGATATCTGACTAAGCCTAATTGTAAAAGTGGGATTTCTAGACCTTTCTAGAAAAGTCATGTAAATTAATAAAATCTGGCACAAATTTTTAGCTCCTAGAGTACCTTAAATGTAATGAATTTTTATTTATTTATTTATTTTTATTTACTGAAACTAGTAGTGTCCATGGACTAAATTACGTTTTGAAAACAAAAAATAGGGCTAGGGGGCCTTTGAATATTGTTGTGGGCAATGGGGGGCCTTGGAGTCAAAAAGAGTGAGGTGAGAGCCACTGCCCTGGAGCCTTAGTCAGAACATTGAGAAAACAGAGACCGGTTGCATTACAAAGTTTTTGTATTAAAAGTACTGTATAGAAAATATCTATACAGTATCAAGAGCTCAGGAAAAACCTAAGGAATATGCTTAAGGCCTACTTTTTTTTCCACAAAAAAAATATATTTTTACTTTGATTAAAGTTGAAAACAGTAGTACCTGAACACACCACATATGGTATAGGCTGAACAACTACATCTTTGCATGTTCAAAGTTTGCATCTAATATTTGCATAGGCTGTTTCTGAGATGCATGCTGAAATACTTTAGCTTCATTAGATTTTTGTCTCATTTTTTCAATGAGACACTGAATTTTTTTGTGTTTAATGGCAAAACCAGCATGTTTGTAGGAAGAAAACTGACATAAACTAAGTTTAGGATTTAATTTTAGTTAAGAGTCCCAGCGACTGAACTTCAAAAGTTTTCGTCATTTTATTTCCAGGTGAGCAAGAAAGAAAGACTAAGAGAGGTTGTTATTATACTAGAGCAGGGTTTTCAACCTTTCCAGACCCAAGGGCCATCAACTCCCAGCTAATCCAGGACCCCCCCAGTATAATAGTAAAAAAAAATTAACTCACTCTAGTAATATTAACAGTCTAATAGAGAGCAACAGTGCATACCCACTTTTTCATCAACCTTGGTTCTGGAAGTATGTTTCTTCTAGGGATTTTTAAAAAGTCTTTGTAAAAGAGTTATAAGCCATGAACCAAACCTAGCAACTATGAGGTGAATCACATTACAAACTTTGATTTGAAGCAAAAACGTAATTGAAAATCAGACAAAAAGACAAAGCTACAAGACTACTCATTGGTTTAAATGAGGTAAAGAACTACAATCCCCTGAAGCATTACAAATGACAATAAAATGAAAAACAATAGTGTATCTTCTGTTTATTGCAAAAACCGTAAGTATTTAGACAATGTAGTGAAACTCAAGTCTACAAAAATCACAATACTTCATGGAAGTGGGTAGGCACTCAAATGTTCTGTTATTTTGCTTGTCACCATTCCGATATTTGGTGGAGAGAATCATGGGTACTGTAGTTTTTCACCAGGAATTTTGCTGCTGAACAATTATTTTAAAAAGAAGTAAAAAAAAAAATACGGGCTGATGGTTTCAACAGAAGCATATACCATCAAATAACAATCCCGATGGAGGAAAAGAATGATACTGTTGCACTCTGTAAAAGTAGTTTTATTTTACATGGAGGCAGCCATGTTTGGGTCACATGACTAGCTGAATACTACTCACTTTATCTCTGTAAAGCTGTTATTTGAAACTTTCAGTCATAGAATATAAATGAATCATGGTTGACTGTGAATAGCGCATTTCTACAGTGCAGTATCTTCATGGACCTCAGGTGTCCACCGACCCCAGCTGAAAACCCTAATCCTAAGGGAGACACTGATATATTAAATTAAAGTTTTGATTGATACGACCCAAGATCATTATACAGTAAATCCATTTATTTACAAATGAGAATGTGAAATGTTCAACAGATAATCTTTATCACAAAATATTTTTAATACAAAAAGAACAAGACCAGAAATAACAGAGTCCATAGTTCAGTTGTGGAGAACATGTTGGATCTCAGGTCAGAGTTCAAAGCGTGTCTGATCCTGCAGTCTCATCCAAAATGTCTCCTGACCCTTGACCTGCCACCTGAGCATCTTCAGCCCCCCCTGCTCCATCTCCACCTTCCCCAGCATCACTCTGATTTGTCATTGTGTCCTCAAGTCTGTCCTGGTCTGAGCTCATTTCCTGTGACTCATCAGCACGCTCTTCCTCCTCCTCTTCCTCCTCTGCATCCATCTCGAACACACGTACATGTCTCAGATTGGCACTGAGCTGATGAGAGAGAGATAAGAGATTTATTTACCATTTACATGCTTTACAATTAGTTGAATTCTTGATTATGATTGCTCAAAATTATATTAATTTCATTATTTTTAAATAATTAAATATTTGGAAAACAAATTAAGCACATAAATGGCAGCAATATTACATTTATTTTCAATAATGAAACTTTTTCCTTAGACTTTGTTAAAAACAGTTATAAATTATTTTGAAATAAATGATTGAAAATGAATGCACAGTAATGGAAGTGATATTACATTAATTTTCAACAATTCGACAGTTTTGTAATAATTATTCTTTATGTTTATGTTTTTTAAATATATTTATACATCAATCAATATTTTCAATATAAACTATTCTCCTAAATGGCTAAAATTTTCCTCAAGTTGTAGAGTCTTACCACGCAGGCCACCTTGCGGATCCCATTAACTGCCACAAACTGAGCTTTGAGGTTGTCCATCTCTCTGCTCTGGTTTCCCCAGGCCAAACACTGGACTGGGATCCCTTCAGTCTGCTGCTCCAGCCTAACACACACCACAACAAAGACAACACATCAAAAGAGTGCTAATTCAGGACATTCAATAGTGGAGAGCCACAATGTCAAACTAAGCTTAACTGTATTACAATCTAGTATATTGCTGGAACGGCTACTGCAATACATGTATAATGCTACAATTCTTTAAGAAATAATTCCATACAAAATGAAAGGTTACTGGTGTAAATCAACAAGTATGCTGTACCTAAGCGTAAGGTCCCAAGTGAACTCTTCATTCCAGCTCAAAACAGAGTTTAGATGAAGCTGAGCAAGGACGCGCATCTTATTCTCGTCATCTTCCCGACTTCGCAATACCACTGTTAATGTCTCGTCATCATAAAAACGGGCATCAAGACAACTGTAGGAACTGTCACTAAAAAACAATTTGTTTTAATCATGCACGCATATATCATCAAAGATTAAATAATGGCAATATTTTCATAGTACGGGATTTTTTACTCCCACTGATGAACTCACGCAGAAGTTGGCACAGGTGTTTCATCATCTATACTAGAATTGAGAGGAGTATTGAAGTTTAGGGCCACCAGACCATTAGGGACAGACCTGAAACACACATACACAAATTCAGTCATGATAAAGTCATGATAAAGTTTCAGAAACCTTTTAAGAAGAATTTTTGCTGGATGTTAATTCAGTTAGAGGTGATGGAAAAAAAACAATTCATTATATTTTCTTTGTAATCAAATACAACAGAGAACAGAATAAAAGAGGTATGTGTACCTGCTGGGGTCTGTTGCTCTCCTCAGAATATAGATTTTAGAGGGCGAGATCTCTGGCATGCAGAACACTACATGATGCATACCAGCCTTCTTATCATTCCACCTGCATTAAAACGCACTCTTATCATCAACAACATACTGTTATCTCTTTATGGACGTCACTGACAAGCACTATAGCCTCAGAATTCACCATTACAAAACAGTATTCTTAGCCTAATTATAAGGATATGACTGGTCCACTTACAGTGAAGGCAGCTCAAACAATCTCGGTGTATTTTCAGAGCTATCAAAAAGAAACCACAGAAATCATCATATTGTCAACAGTAAGCCCTGGTTCTTTAACTCAAATCAAACCATCAGTTATTTCCTGACAAATCATTAGTAGTACTAAAACCACAAAATCCAAAAGCAGGTGTACTATTAAATGTTTAGGTTGTGTATGGTAAATCACAGACTGAATCTAGAATATGGATTACCTCTCAGGAACAGTGTACAATCGCAAACACACAGCTTGTGTTACTGAATGCCCAATCACCTCCTGAAAAACACACACAGATGTATGATTAGGATTCAGATGCATTAGTGCTCTGGGAAAGAATGGTCAGCAGGAAGGGTGAAGCAATCCAGATAATGTAGTTAATGCTTCTGATATATATATGTGCTGGAGACCGATAATGGATGGAGTTTGTATGTGAGAAAGCAAGTTGGAGCATCTTCTGAAAAAGAGAACGGGATGGACGTCAAAAGAGGACAGGATGAATGTCCAATTTTGTGAAGGAGAAAACACTGTACAGTTTTGAGTGGAGGTAATATTTTCATGTTGGGTCAAAGCAGAACATGTAAAACTGTTGTCCTGGAGTATTAAAGTTGTGTCTAACCCTGTCAATGTGATTCCATTTACAGAGCTAGAGAGATAGTATTGAAGTTTGTTTGTGCGCTTGTGTGTGTGTGTTTGTTAGACTCACGG